GGCCCGCCCTGCCCTGCCGGGGACAGCCCTCCAAGCCCTCCGTGGCCCGCCCTGCCCTGCCGGCGACAGCCCTCCAAGCCCTCTGTGGCCCGCCCTGCCCTGCCGGCGACAGCCCTCCAAGCCCTCTGTGGCCCGCCCTGCCCTGCCGGGGACAGCCCTCCAAGCCCTCCGTGGCCTGCCCTGCCGGGGACAGCCCTCCAAGCCCTCCACAGCCTGCCCGCCCTGCCGGGGACAGCCCTCCAAGCCCTCCGCGGCCCGCCCTGCGGGGGACAGCCCTCCAAGCCCTCTGTGGCCCGCCCTGCCCTGCCGGGGACAGCCCTCCAAGCCCTCCGTGGCCCGCCCTGCCCTGCCGAGGACAGCCCTCCAAGCCCTCCGTGGCCCGCCCGCTCTGCCGGGGACAGCCCTCCAAGCCCTCCGTGGCCCGCTCCGCCGGGGACAGCCCTCCAAGCCCTCCGTGGCCCGCCCTGCTGGGGACAGCCCTCCAAGCCCTCCGTGGCCCGCCCTGCCCGGGACAGCCCTACAAGCTCGGGCCGCCTGCCTAGCCGGGACAGCCTCCACCTCACGGCCCGCAGCCATGCTGGGCCGGGGACAGCCTCCAGCCCTCCGCGGCGCCTGACGGGGACAGCCTCCAACCTCCGCGGACCGCCCTGCCGGGACAGCCTCCAGTACCGCGCGCGCCTCGGGGACAGCCTCCAGCCCTTCCGCCGGCACACGCCTGCCGGCGGACAGCCTCCAAGCCTCGCGGCCGCCTGACGGGACGCCCTCGCCCTGGCCCCCGCCCACGGCCCGCCTCCAACGCTCCGCGGCCGCTGCTAGGCGGACGCCCTCCAACGCTCCGGCGCGCTCCGCCGGGACACGCCTCCAACCTCCGCGGCCCGCTGCCAGGGGACAGCCCTCCAAGCCTCCGTGCCGCCTGACACACACCGGGGCACAGCCCTCAAGCCCTACACAGACACCGGACCGCCCTGCCGGGGCCAGCCCTCAAGCCTCCACGGCCTGCCCTGCCGGGGACCACCTCACCCACCCTCCGCGTGCCGCCCTGCGGGGACAGCCTCCAAGCCCTCAGCGGCCGCCCTGCCCGACAGCTCCAAGCCTCCGGGCGCTGCCCGGGAGAAAACGCCCTCCCAGCCCTCGCGGCCGCCAGGGGTGGCCACTCGCGCGCGGCGGCTCAGGGGCGGGGACGCCGCGAACTGGCCTGCCGGGGACAGCCCATCCAAGCCATCCGCGGCCCGCCTGCGGGGGACAGCCCTCCAAGCTCTCCGCGGCCGCCTGCGGACGCCTCCAAGCCCCACGCGCCTCCGCTCTGGGCTCCGCCTTCCAGCCCGGCGGTTTCTTCCTTGGTCCCTCATGTTTCTATTTCTCTTTCGTCCCCGCCCGTCTCCAGCTCGGCTGCTTTGAGGGCCACGTTCTGACGTCGGGCTCCACAGAGCCCTCCCTGCTCCTGCTGCTGCAAGTAGCTCTCCTGCCCTTTGCTGGCGCCGAGTGCGTCCCCGCAGGCAGCTGCTGAAGCTTCCGTCTTGTACTGCCTTAGCTCTGAGCTCCGCGTGGCAGGAACTGGGTCTTTAACCCAGCCTCATTGTGTGGCTCGATGCCTGACACTGAGCAGGTGCCCAAAAAGTCTGGTGAACGAGTACTGTTTAAGTAAAAGAGAATAGAGAGGCAACAGTTTTATGTGCCAGAGACCCAGGATTTCTGCCGCTGTGGGGGCCACCAGCCCTGATAGGGTGTCGCAGGTGCTGACAAGCCGAGGTCAGTCCTGGCCCCTCTCTCATAACTCCCCGCTGGCCTCTGCCCACGCCACCACGCGGCCCACGGCGCAGCCTCCCTGAACGGCTCTCTGCTACCCCAAACCAAGCCTGTACGCCCCTTTCACGCCCCTGGGCCTTTGCACATGCTCCCCCACCCCACCCCACCCCACCCCCAGCCCCAACGCCTTTCTTCTCCTTTGCTCTTTGTCTTTACTCATCCTACAGATCACATATCACCTTTCAAATGCAGGATTCCTTATCACCAGTCCTGTCTCCCATTTCCAGAGAATTAATTGCTCTTCTTCTGGATGTCTAAGTACCGGTGCGTGTCTTCACCATCAGAGCAGCTACGGCAGGCAGTGCCTGTTCTGTTCCGGTGCTGTTTAAGCTCACGATACACAGTAGCTCATAATGATCTTACAACAACCCTTCATGGTACATGATGATAATGGTAAATGTTTCTGCAGTACTCATTCTGGGCCAGGTACCATCTAATATGCTTTCCAACTGAAGAGAGGCTTAGAGTGGTTAAGTAACCTTCGTGAGATCACACAGCCAGCAGTGGGGCAGGCTAAAAGGCAGTATGGTCCCAGAGTCCATGCTGTCATCACTATGCTATACTGCCTTTGTTGTCAAAGGAACTGAAGCTCAGAGAGGCTAAGTAATTGGCTTGAGGTCACACAGTAAGTGGCAGACATTGGAGCTAAACCCGAGCCTGCCTAACCCCAGGTCTACGCCCTGTTCTGGCTCTGAACTGCCTTTCTTTATAGCAGAAGTTGGCGCACTTTGTGTGTAAAAGACAAGATTAAAAATATTTTAGGCTGTTGAGCCATAAAGTTTCTGTTGCAACTTTGCATTGTAGCGAGAAAGCAGCCATATCACTTTCATAGATAATATGAAAGTGAATGGGCATGACCATGTTCTAATAAAATGCTATTTATGGAAACTGAAACTTTGAATTTCATATTAATTTTCACAGCATAAAATATTTTCTTTTGATTTTTTTACAACCATTAAAGTACGTAAAACCCATTCTTAATTTGTGGGCCATACAAAAACAGGTAGTGGGGTGGACCTGGCCCATGGGTGGGCCATAGTTTGACAACCTAGCTTTATAGCACTGTGACACCATAGAATGATTAGATGTGTGTGATTGGCCTCTTTGCTCTCTCTCTCCTTGAACAATTCAGCTCCTGCCCCAGACATGCGTACCCAACTGAGAATATATGAATCCTTCGGTAAATGAGATTCACATTCCTTAGAAAGAAGTGTGGAGGCTGTGCGGCCTTCCTTAAGTGTGCCCCTTGGAGGCTGCTCCCTCGGCTTCCTGCAGTTTTCAGAGTATTTCTTCCAGCTACTTTGAGAATCATTTTTTCCATCACTTTAGTTTTGAGATGAGGTCCTAGTGTCTTTTTAGGGTGCTCTGGGCAGTCACCTGGGTGGCTGGTGTTACATCTGACTCTGAACTTGGGCCATGCTGAGAACTTTAGCCCTGAAGCAGCAATCCCTGGATTGTGCTCTTGCAAGTGGAGGAGACTAGGGAGGGGAGGGTGGCTGGGACAGCGAGGGGGAGAAGGCCACGGTCCCTGCTCGGCTGAAGGTCACAGGGGCAGGGCTCAGAGAGGCTTCCAGATAATGGGATGACTCAGGGCTTGGCATTGTTTGTTTTAATTCAACTATGTAGGGCCTAAATGTGCTTCAGGCTTAGGAATGTAAACACCGTAGAATCTCGACTTCGGAGAATGAACATGCATTAAAGGTTGTAAACCAGCATCTTGCAAACAAACTTTCAGAACAAAATCTGTTTTGAACAGAAATGTTATGCGTATAAAAATATACTGACTTAAAAGTGATTTCTTTTTGTGATTTTTGAGGGGGAATTTAATGATTATTTGTAGCAATTAGCAACACACTATGGGAATTATTAAAGTAGGTCTGAGAATTAATGAGATGAACTCTTGCAAGATGAAACTTGAGAAAATGAATCCTTATTTTTTAAAATATCTTTTGTTGAAGTTTAATTTACCTACAGAAAATGTGAACACATTGTATACAGCTTGATGACTTTTCATGTGTTAAACATACCTGTGGAACCATCATCCAGAGCAGGAAACAGCAGACTTCTTTTAAAATATCAGAAACTGGCTTATTTGTTGTAGGAAGAGACTAGGAGGAGGGACCTGGTTAGAAGGGGTGGCTAGGAAAAGTGTCTGGAAGCTGGGTTTGCAGAGAAAGCAGCTTTATTTGAGAAACCTTGGAGAGGGCCAGTGGGAGTGATGGTATGGGGGACACTCAGAGCTGGCGATGCTTTGGAGCCACACTCTGTCTGAGTCTACTTTGCCTCTGCCATTCCTCGCTGTGTGACTCTGGGCGAGACTCTCAACCTCCTACAGTAATCTCTGCCAAGACAGCGTCTCTTGTTCACCATTGTGACTTACGGCTTATTACAGCACCTGCCACACAGGACACCCTAAACAAAAATTTTTAAATGAATAAAACAGCTAATAAATAATATGTGCAAAGTACTTAGTGCAGTATCTGGGACAGACTCAATAAATGTAAAAAAAAGTCACAAAGTGACCCACACTGACCCAGTAACACTATGTTTGTCAATAAAGACCCTCTAGAAAATCGTCCCACGCAAAAGTGACTTATCTGTCTATGTATAATACCGTATGTACACACATCCCTACACATACGTATGAGGAGACTTCAAAAAGTTCATGGAAAATGGAATTAAAAGACAAAATTTAAAAATATAAACTTTACTTTTCAGCATAAGTAAGCTCCACCACGTCCAAGACACTTTTTTAAGCGATGATCCCAGACATCTAGTCCATCCCTAAAGAGCTGAGGGTCCTGGGAATTTAACCATGTTGATGTAGTCTTTTTTACATTATTGATGGAAGAAAAATGGGTGCCCTTTACAGATTTTTTAAGATTAGGAATCAAAAAGAAGTCAGAAGGAGCCAAATCAGGACTGCACGGTGGATGCCTAGTGGTTTCTCATGGAAACTCTTACAAAATTGCTCGTTTGACAAGAGGCATGAGCAGGAGCATTGTCGTGGTTGGTGGAGAAGGACTCTCTGGGGAGCTTTCCCAGGTGTTTCTTTGCTAGAGCTTCGGGTAACTTTCCCAAACACTCTTATAATTAAAGCAGATGTTATCATTCTTAGGCTCTCCAGAAAATCAACAAGCAAAATGCCTTGAGCATCCCAATAAAACTGTTGCCATGACCTTTGCTGTTGACCAGTCCGCTTTTGCTGTGACTGGACCACTACCTCCTCTCAATAGCCATTGCTTTGGTTGTGCTTTGTCTTCAGGATCGTACTGGTAAAGCCATGCTCCATCTCCTGTTGCAATTCTTCTAAGAAATGCTTCAGGATCTTGGTCCCACTTGTTCAAAATTTCCATTGAAAGCTCTGCTCTGATTTGGGTGCAACGGTTTGGGCACCCAAGTGAAAAGTTTGCTCAACTTTAATTTTTCAGTCAGAATTGTGTAAGCTGAACCTTTGAGATGTCCGTGTCTCTGGTGTTGGCTGTTGTTTCTGCTGGTGACCATTGGTGCTTTTTAATTAGAGCACAAGATTAATTAATTGATTTTTTTTCTCTCACAAGTGGATGTGGATGGTCTGCCACTGCTGTAGACTTCATCTTCAACATCATCTCCTCCCTTTTTTTCTTTTTTTGAGACAGGGTCTCACTCTATCACCCAGGCTGGAGTGCAGTGGCATCATCATAGCTCACTGTAGCCTCAAACTCCTGGGCTTGAGTGATCTTCCTGCCTAAGCCTCCAGAGTACTTGGTACTACAGGCATGTGCTACCATGCCTTACTAATTTTTCTATATTTTTGTGGAGATGAGGTCTTGCTGTTGCTCAGGCTGGTCTCAAACTCCTGGCCTCAAGTGATCCTCTCACCTCAGCCTCCCAAAGAGCTTGGATTACAGGCTTGAGCCACCACATCCAGCCTCATCCCTTCTTAAAATAAGTTATCCATTTGTAAATTGATGATTTCTTTGGGGCCTTGTCCCCATAAACTTTTTGTAAAGCAGCAGTGACTTAACCACTTTTCCACCCAACTTCACCATAAATTTGATGTTTGTTTTTCCTTCAGTTTTGGCAGAATTCATGTTGCTCTGATAGGGGCTCTTTTCAAACTGATGTCTTATTTTTAGTGCCTCAAACTAGATCTTGTTCAGAGATGTTGCAACAACTTAGTACGAGTTTATTTTGGTGCAAAAAATTTTTGAAATCCACGCATACTTTTTTCATAATATGCATTTTCCATGAACTTTTTGAAAACCCCTCATATATATGGTTAATTATAGTGAAATACTGGAACTAACTCAAGATATGCTAACAATGAAGCATAGCTATGCACTTATGAATTGCCGAAACAATGGAAATCTTTTTAGCTAAAACCTGGTAAGTGTGTAGACTATGTTGGAATTCTAAAAATTTTAAAATCTGAAAAAGTATTTAGAAGATATATGCAAATATATATTTATTAGAGAATAAAAACTGAGTAAGAATTTGGAGTGATAAAGTTTAGAGATGGTTATGCTTTTTTCTAGTAAGTTGCCTAAGATTTTTTGAATTTCTCCCCTCCACCCTGCTAAAAAAAGAAATAAAAACAAAGCTCCCAGCCCACCTTGCCAGGCAGGAGCCCCCGACGGGCTCGCCCATCCTGAGCAAGGCCTGCTCTTGCTGTGATGTCCCTGCTGGGCGGTGAAGGGGCTACTGATGGAAGGCGCTGGCCGGACAGGTTGCTGAGGAGAACGGTGGCTTCTGGTCATCTGAATGTGTTCAGTTCATGGCAGAGTCAGTTTCCTTAATGAACAAATTGGCTGCTGCCAGCACAGGCACTTTGTTCGAAGGTCTTTCGAACAAAGGAGGATGCCATTATATGTATGCTCTGTAAGCAATAGGCCATCCCTGGCCAAAGGCTGCCACGGGTGCATTTTTTTTTAAAAAAAGACAGCTTTGGATTCCATGAACATTTATTTTGAAGTAAACCACCTTCCCCAAAGCCCAGCTAACCCCAAACCGGCAATACAATAATTCGTTAATAGTAATCATGATTCCACCTTAGTTTTATATTATGCTGTATTGTTCTGAAGGGACTTTCTCACAGAACCAACAAGAGAGCATTTCCGAACGTGCAAGCATGGTGAAAGTCCCAGCACAAAGTATTGCCATATTGTTATCATTTCCACCATACCCTTCTGAGCTCCCTGTGAAGAAGGAAGAGCAGATCTCATTCCAGTTTTACAAATGAGGGCTAAACACCAGAAGACCAGCCATTTCAGCAGAGTGTGACAACTTCCACGAGAAATGTTCTCGGAGGCGTTATGGGAACACACCGGGGCCCTGACAGGGGAGGGGTGGAGGTAGCCAAGGACGCTTTTAGGGAAGGTGGGAGTTGGGGATTGAGTGAGGGGCAGGCCCTCCCAGGCAGACAGAGCAGCGTGGAGCATGTCTGCCAAGGGTCACGGAGAGCATGGCCGTTAGGGCTGAGGCTGAAGTGGAGTGATGTTTACCTCCTGGACAGCCCTCAGTTCTCCAGAGGAGAAAATGGATTAGGATGCCTCATTCCCTGAACTCCCTTTGACAAAGTGAGCACAACAAGCTTTTGCAACGAGAAGCCTCCCTTCCCTCCTCCATCTCTCTCTGCATGAACCATGGAGGCCCGTCGAGGATGCCCTTTCTGTGAATATGGTAGAAAGAGGAGGACAGGCAAGAGCAACCAAGTCATTGAGACCCCAGAGGTTCTGGGGTTGAAGTCTCATTAATTCCAGTGTGATTCAAGCCTGGCCCAGTGGGGCGTGGGGTGCCATCCTCAGACGCTGTGGAGGACACTTGGGGCAACTCTCTGTATGAAGAGACACATGCTCGAGCACCCTTGCCAGCTAGCCACTTGTGAAACGCCTCTGAAAACTCACCTTTAATTTTCACCTCGAAGCCCTTGTAGGGAGAATTTCTCCCTTTAGAAGAAATTCCACTGAAGTCAAGCCCATCAGCATCTTAGACAGACGATGGAACCCACAGTGGCTCACTCCTGGTACCTATGCCTTGCTCTGAAGACTATCGTCATGCCTAAATATGTGGTAGTGCTCTAGCCTGGCCTGGAGCCTCTCCCCCAGCTCCATGTTCAGCATCTGTCGAGGCTGCACACGTCCTCGGTTCAGCACCCATCTTCACTGCTGCGGAGTTGTGCAGTGGTTCAGGTTGTAGGCACTGTGGCAGGTAATAAAGGTTTCCCCTTTAGCTTAAGTTTTTTTTTTTTTTTTTTTTGAGACAGAGTCTCACTTTTTGTTGCCCAGGCTAGAGTGAGTGCCGTGGCGTCAGCCTAGCTCACAGCAACCTCAAACTCCTGGGCTCAAGCGATCCTCCTGCCTCAGCCTCCCGAGTAGCTGGGACTACAGGCATGCACCACCATGCCCGGCTAATTTTTTGTATATATACTTTTAGTTGGTCAATTAATTTCTTTCTATTTTTTTAGTAGAGACGGGGTCTCGCTCAGGCTGGTTTCGAACTCCCGACCTTGAGCAATCCGCCCGCCTCGGCCTCCCAGAGTGCTAGGATTACAGGCGTGAGCCACCGCGCCCGGCCTAGCTTAAGTTTTAATAGAACCACCAAGAAAGCAAATCTTATCCAACTACTCACAGGTTAGGAAACAGACTCCAGGAGCTGACTTGGTGCTCTGCTCAGGGTCGGAGCTGGCTGGCACATAAATATCACTTGATCGAGCAGAGCCTGTCTGACTCTTCAGAGCTCTCTGGGTGGCAAAGGTGAGACAGGAATTTCTTTGTTTATATAATTCTTTCATTTATTTTTTTAAAAATTTTAAATTCGAATTTAAATTTATTTATTTTTTTGAGATAAGGTCTGACTCTGTCATCCCAGCTAGAGTGCCATGGCATCAGCTTAGCTCACAGCAACCTCAAACACCTGGGCTCAAGTGATCCTCCTGCCTCAGCCTCCCGAGTGCCGGAACTATGGGCATGCGCCACCATGCCCGGCTAATTTTTTCTACTTTTTGTAGAGATGGAGTCTTGCTCTTGGTCAGGCTGGTCTCAAACTCTTGGCCTCAAGCAATTCTGCCTTGGCCTCCCAAAGTTTTAGGATTACAGGCATCAGCCACTGTGCTCGGCCAATATTTTTATTTTTATGCCATAAGAAGAAACTTCTTTCTCCTTTTTTTTTTTTGTAGTCATGTTTAGATTGAGATCAGAGCACCCTTTGCTAGAGAAACCTCTTTAGTGCAACTTCAATTCCCTACTTACAATGAATAATTGTGAGTTATCATTATGTTTAGTAATTTTAAACAATATTATTAATAGGGATTACTTGTGTGTTTACTATGTACATATAGTATGTTTACATTGTGCACTCTGCTCAGGAGTTTATACATGTAAGCTCACACACTTAATACCCTCAAGAGCCCTGTGATTCTCTGATGTAGATATTATTACATTGATTTTACAGAGGAGGAAACTGAGGCTTAGAGAGTCTAAGAAAATCTTCTAAGGTCATCACACAGGTAGTCAGTTGGACAGCTCAGATATAGTTCTAGGACTCCCTGACCTTAAAGCCTGTGTTCTTAACCATCATGCCTCACTGACTTCCTGTTGCAGATATTCGCTCAGGAAATTTGGCTTTAGCTCAATCAATTTATTAGAAAGGTTTCATTTAAATAAGGCTGGACACAAAAGGCTGGACACATGCACATTTTCCTAATTCTGGTCCTGCTGCATTGAGGTCAAAATAGAATTTAAGGCCAGGCACAGTGGCTCATACCTGTAATCCCAGCGCTTTGGGAAGCTGAGGTGGGAGGATTGCTTGAGGCCAAAAGTTTGAGACCAGCCTGAGCAACATAGTGAGACTCTATCTCTATAAAAAATAAAAAAATAGGCGGCATGGTGGCTTGTACCTATAGGCCCAGCTACTTGAGAAACTGAGGCAAGAGGATCACTTGAGGCCAGGAGTTTGAGGTTACAGTGGGCTGTGATCAGGCCACTGTACTCCAGCCTAAGCAATAGAATGAGATCCTGTCTCAAAAAAACAAAACAAAACAAAACAAAAGCTTAATGTTTTAAGAGGTCTTGGCCCTGGACTAAGTCACAAATGTATACATTTACGTGATCCCTTGGTCTAAGGAACGAGACTAACTGAGATCCTGCGTAGTGCCCAATTAGTTCTTTCTCAAGAGTTTGGTGACAAGTGGGTGTCTAGGACCATTGTGCCTGGGAGTCACCCAGTGTGAATCTTCAGAAAAAGTCCAGCCGAACATTCGGCCCCCAGCTTCTGTGCTGGGACATGCGATTTTTGGTGTTTTAAATGGATAGTGATGAAACAGGCAACCTGATGTCGCCCGTGATTCTCACGTGCCAGGCTCTCCACGTGCTGGGCCCTCACGGTGATCCTGTGAAGAAAGTGCTTTTCTGATCTTCATTTTTATGAGGAAACCAAGACTCGGAAAGGTTAAGTAACTTGGCCAAGATCATGTTTAAACACATGCATACGTGAAAATCATGTGAATTGTTTAACTGACTCATTTGCAAAGGTTATTATAATTAAACTAACAGAGATCGTGGGTTGACAAGGATAAAGATGTCTTGGAAGGCAATATCAGGATTTAGAGGAGTAATTTTTAAAAATTATGTCTTGCAGCAGACCTGTAGATTTGCTTTTTTATTGCTTTCCATGTCACATGTCAGGAAGATTGCCAATGGGTGGTTACAAGCCCAGATTGAATCAGTAACTTTGAATCAGTTTGGGTCTGAAAGGCCTTTCCTTTAAGCTGGGCTGGCCTTGCGGCAGCGCGGCACCAGGAAAGATCTGCACGCTGGGTCGGTGCTGGAGTCTGCCGCCCGCACTGACTGAGACTATTTGCACCTTCACGAATTCAGGTTCTCTCCTGTTTAGGCAGTCCTGTTTAAGTGACAATCACCGAATATGGTTGCTTTCAAGCAAGTTATTCTGTTTAACCAGAGTCCTAGTAGAGTTCTGATAAACAGGTGGCCATACAAAAAAAGAAAGAATTTAATCCTCACAACACTCCGAGAAGTGGCCCCTAAGTCTGTCGCAGTCTTGCAGATGTGTTAGCCGAGGCTTGTAGTCCAAGCAGCGTCCCCGGCTTCTGCTTCTCGGAGCAGAAGCTGGCAGCCAGCTGCGTGAAACCGTCTCGTTCACACACCAGGCTCACCGAGCTCTTTTTCATGCTGCTTTCAGAGCAGTTGCTTGTGTTTGTGTCACTAGGCTGATTTCAGAGATAAAATCAGCTTCCACCTCCTGACCAGGAGGCATTGTGGATGCACCTGTCAGGGGAGACAGAGCTAAGCCTTCCCTGCCCAGGGCAAGGTGGGCTGCGCAGGTGGGGTTGGATGGCGCCCTGAGATCGGCCCACATCTAATCAGTTTGACAATGAGGACGCTCAAAAGAGGCAAAAAAGAAAGACTCACTTTTCCCCCTTCTCTTTTTGTTCCAGTTGAAGACTCAGCTTTGGAGGTTCTCAAAGTAGATGCTGCCCGTCCCTTGGGTGGATGGGGCGAGGTGACATCCCGCAAGCTGCCGTCAGAGGTCCTGCGAACACAGAGCCGGCCGGCTCCCGGCCCCCTTGCTGGATGGCGCTTGCCGCAGCCCGCTGAGGGCTCTCTTCGCTGCGGCTCTGCCCGTGAGCAGGACGCCGAGCTGGGAAGATGCTGAGTTCCATCAAGTGCGTGCTGGTGGGCGACTCCGCCGTGGGGAAAACCTCCCTGTTGGTGCGCTTCACCTCCGAGACCTTCCCCGAGGCCTACAAGCCCACGGTGTACGAGAACACGGGGGTGGATGTCTTCATGGACGGCGTCCAGATCAGCCTGGGCCTCTGGGACACGGCCGGCAACGATGCCTTCAGGAGCATCCGGCCCCTGTCCTACCAGCAGGCAGACGTGGTGCTGATGTGCTACTCTGTGGCCAACCAGAGCTCCTTCCTGAACTTGAAGAACAAGTGGATTGGTGAGATCAGGAGCAACTTGCCCTGCACCCCTGTGCTGGTGGTGGCCACCCAGACTGACCAGCGGGAGATGGGGCCCCACAGGGCCACCTGCGTCAGTGCCATCGATGGGAAGAGACTGGCCCAGGATGTGAGAGCCAAGGGCTACTTGGAGTGCTCAGCGCTCAGCAACCGGGGCGTCCAGCAGGTGTTCGAGTGTGCGGTCCGCACTGCCGTCAACCAGGCCCGGAGACGCAACAGACGGAGGCTCTTCCCCGTCAATGAGTGTAAGATCCTCTAAACCCCAAGACACTCCACCTGACACTTGGGTGCTCACCCCAAGATGAGCGGGGAGGGGAGAGTGGGCAGGCCAGGAAGGGTTGGTGCTCTTTCTGGGCACGCCTCGAGCAGTGTTTGCTTTTGGATACAGCTAGTGCCAAGGCTTGGCCACTGGATGTTTTTACCAGCTACACTCTACAAATGAACTCCTTGCCCAGTCCAATTAGAAGACCCACTGGGAAGCTGTAATGAATATTCCATCTTCATTAAAAAAATAAAATAGGCCAGGGGTGTGGTGCTCGCACCTGTAGTCCTAGCTGCTTAGGAGACCAAGGCAGGAGGACGCTTAAGCCCAGGAGTTTGAGGTCACAGTGAGCTATGATGATGCCACTGCATTCCCGCTGGGGCGACGGGGGGAAACCCTGTTTCAAAACAAATAGAAAAACAAACAAACAAAAAAACCCGAGAAACCATAAAAAATTAAAATGATCTCTATAATTTTGGACAACAAAGTGAGTTTTCAGAAAAATTCTGTATTTAAAGACACATTTTATTTTAATAATAACAAAATGTATTGCTCTTGTATATAATTAGTTTTCACACTTGGAAAATCTTTCCTGCATGCTGAAAACTCAAACTGCTGTGTGAGTGAAGTGAGCTTTGGGGCTCTGCCGTGTGTTTGTGACGTTATTTTTGTGTGAAACAGTAATTTTGTTGAAACTACTTGCCTGCTAGATTTTACTATGTCATTAAATTTTAAAATGACCATAAACTGATCCTTGCAATTCATTTTCTACCTATCTTTTATTTAGAGTTGCATATAAAACACAGTTCCATAAAATATTCTAATACTGCCTGATGACTTTAAAGTCATTACTATATTTCTCCGTAGTTATAAAAAAGCAATTTATTTATGATTTTACCTTTCACTGAAAGAAGCCCAGTCACACACTACGCGTCACCGTTGCATTCACCAAGTCGGCCGAAGCAAAGTCTTTCCGCAGAGACTTGGCTGCTCCAGCGCTGGGGCGGACGTGGAGCTTCCTGTGCATGGGCACCGCCCCACGCATCCCCATCCGGCCCCACGCATCTCCACCCGGCCCCACCCGGCCCCACACGTCCCCACCTGGCCCCACCCCGCCCCACGCGTGCTCCACCGGGCCCCATGTGTCCTCCACCTGGCCCCACCCCACCGCGCCCCACGCTTGTGAGACGGAGCAGGCTCAGAGTGCTGTGTGGTGGAAGGTTTGACAAAGGTGTCCTCCTTCGAGCTCTAAACTGAGCTGGCATGGCAACATGATTCACCTTAGGCTCTAATCGGAATAATTGGGAAGGTGTCTGCACATATACACTTGTGCAAGAGAAAAAAGGTAGAATTTGTAGCCTTTACAATTTCATGAATGTGAATCACTGGAATGAAAAAAATCATAAATTCTGAATACAGGGAATAGGAAAGTCGTATTGCAATTGCTCAGATAACAAAATTATCAGGGGAAAGGCTGAATAAATTGGGACACACACACCCCTCCTGGACACCCAAGACCAGGAATCTGAGTGCGAACCCTCCCCAGGGCCAGGACCCGGCAGGAATCGAGCCAATCAACCTAATCACCTCCCAAAGTCCCCACTTCCAAATACCATCCCATTGGAGATTAGGCTTCAACGTTTCAAAATTCTGGGGAGACACAGACCACAGGTTCTTGAAGGCAGCCCCGTCTGCGAGTCCCCCTGGTGTCCCCAGGGCCCAGCACAGGGAAGGACATGTGGCCAAAGCTCTGTCGAGTTGGATTGGAGAGAGAAAGACAGGGGCTGGGCCTCTGCGAGGCAAGCGGCCCTGAGCAGGAAGCAGAGACTCCGGGCCCTCAGGGAGGAGGGAGCCAGTCCTGGCGGGGAGCCCGCCTCTCAAGCGCAAATGTGTGCTTTGCCTGCCCAGACACAGGCATGCTTCTTACACTTCAAACTTGCAGTGCTGTTTTGTAGACTGTTGTGTGTCTATTCTTAACTGTTCAAATAGCAACATTAAATATGCTCTTGTTGACATTAAAGAGTTGAGTTGAGTGGTCCAGAAATGCATCCTTGTCTCAGTCAGTCTGTGCCACTACAGTGGAATGCCATCGACTGGGTGGCCTGAATGACAGAAACTTCTCTCTCATGGTTCTGAAGGCTGACAAGTCCGACCTTGGGGCTGGCATGGCTGGGTGCTGGCGAGAGAGCTTGTGCCTGTTTGTGGTGGCTGTCTTCCTGCTGTCTTCTCATGGCAGAGAAATCGACTGTCTCTCTCCTGTGTCTTCTTATAAGACACTGACCCCACCCACGAGGCCTCCACCCTCATGGCCTAGTCGCCTCCCAGAGCCCCCACTTCCAAAGGCCACCCGTTGGGGATTGGGCTTCAACATTTCAAAATTCTGGGGAGACACAGACATTCTGTCCATGGCAATGCCAGTCTGACTGACCTCACGCTGACTGCTGGTGGGCGGCAGGCGGGGGATGGGATTAGGCGGGGTGGCGAGGGAGGGAAGCGCCCTGGCAGTTAACGCCTGTTAAGGGTTTCAGATGTGCCAGGCCCCATGTTAGGCACTTAATGTGCATTATCTCAGCACATGTGTGTAGGTGGCTCGCGCGACACAGAGTCCCATCTTACATGAGGAAACGGAGGCTCAGCATGTTGATGTAACAAGTTCCAGCCCGTGTAGCAGGTGAGTGGCAGCAGCAGGAGTCTCGAGCAGCTCTGTGTGACTCTAAAGCTCTGCTCAAAACCACTCTGCCCCACTTCCTCCCAGAGCCGCTTGACTGGATGGCTTTGCTACTTCCCACCTCTTGTAGCTTGCAGGCTCCTCCCCACCAGTCAAGTGGCCTGCATTTAAAATAATGCTTATTTTTCTTGTGACACAGAGTCTCACTCTGTCGCCCTGTGTAGAGTGGCAGTGGTGTCATCATAGCTCTCTGCAACCTCAAACTCCTGGTCTTAAGTGATCTTCCTGCCTCCGGCTCCCGAGGAGCTGGGACTGTAGGTGCTCGCCATGAGGCTGGCTAATTTTTCTATTTTTAGTAGAGACAGGGTCTCGCTCTTGCTCAGGCTGGTCTCGAACTCCTGACCTCAAGCGATACTCCTGCCTCAGCCTCCCAGAGTGCTAAGATTACAGGGGTGAACCACCATGCTTGGCCTAAAAAATTATTTTTAAATAAGATATTTCAAGTCTGATCTTAGTCTTACCCTTTTTATTTTTCTTCCTAACAATGAGAACAGGACCTACCCTCATTTGAAAAGGTCCCTACTCCAACCCTTGGCTTTTAAGCGTAATTTCATAGGTTGATGTTGTGTAAATTGGCAGAGATGAAACACATCATGATTTGATGCTTTGAAAAGCTTGGGAAATATTTTGTTTTTCTTATCTCACTTTTCTACCTCCAGGTTTCAGGCATTTCCTTGGAATTGGGGAGTGACAAGGGAGAAGAGAGCCTGGTTCTTTCGTTTCAAGGGTTCTTACCCAATGTGAGATGTGATGGAAGGCTTCCAACTTCGTGCATCTGTAGGGTTAGGGTATGGCAGTGGGGACAGGGCATCTGTGGGCGCCTTTCCTAACTCTGAGAAGGCAGTCCTTACAGGCTAAGATTGGCACAACTCAATGGTAGGGACCTATTTTTCCTGAGACTGTATCTCTCCTGATAAAGCAAAGATAAAGCCTAATCAATGGCCAATATCTCAAGCAGTTTTTCACAGGAAAAAGACTAAACTATGAAAGTTACTTGTGGTATAAGTTAATAAAGCATATTTGATTAAACCTGAAGTCCACATTAACTTTTTGGTAGACTCTAAAATCCTGACCTGGAACTTAATACTTAATGGTAGAGAGAAAGCCATAATGAATGAGTAGGGGGCCAGATAATTGTGATGTATTTCGGGGTCAGAAAATCTGCATTATGTATTTCTCAGCCTCAGTTTCCTTTTCTTAAAATAGGAATACTAATTCCTGGGATACTGTATAAGTCTTGGTAAAATAATGATCGTGGAAGCGCTTTATATCTGTAAACTATTGTTTGAATGGTGGTGTTATTTTGGTTTTGGTAGATCCCTTTGCAGATACATAAGCTAAATAGTCCAGATCAGATTAGAATATTCTAGAACTTGTCAGCATACGATGGGAAACCCACACAGAAGCACGCTCCATTTCTAACATTGTTAGAAATGTCATTGTTAATGACAGCAAGAGGAGTAAAATGACACACACGGATAACGGATAAGGATAAGAAACAGCAACACGCTGCGGCGGAAGGCCTCCTGGTTCCGGCCCTGCTGGGCCTGGGCCACGTCCCCGTTAGTGCTCGCGACTCGCTCACCAGGGAGATACTCTCTTTCCATCCATAGTGGCTTTTCAAGAGTTCCCAGTTTTACCATGTAATTTTGGAATAAACTTGACCAGCTAAAAATTATGTCATCGATTATATTTAGTGCTCATTTAGCCAAGACGGCGCGAAGGCCCCTCCCCTTCGCACGCTGCAGGCGCTGGCCGGGGGCGCGCTGGCGGGGGGCGCGCTGGCGGGGGGCGCGCTGGCGGGGGGCGCGCTGGCCGGGCGCCTGCGCCCGCGGGGGCGCTGCGGCGCGCTGCCGGGCGGGCGCTGCCGGGCGCGCTGGCGGGGGGCGCGGCGGGGGGCGCGGCCGGGCCGCGCTGCCGGCCGCTGCGGGCCGCGGGGGGCGCTGGCCGGGGCGCTGGCGGGGGGGCGCTTGGCCGGGCGCGCTGGCGGGGGCGGCGGCGCGCGGCGGGGGGCGGCGCGCCTGGCCGGGCAGCGCTTGGCCGGGCGCGCTCCCTCGCCCACCTCCCCACCGGAAGTCTCGGCTCGCCCTGCCCCGCTGGTCGCGCCGCCCTCCGTCTCCGCTCTTCCTGCCCTGCCAGGCGCCCGGGAGCCCCGCCCGGCTTCCCGCGGGTTTACCAGCCGGACTTTGGCAGGACGGCAGAGGGCGGGAGGAGAGAGCAGCTGGGAGCCCCCAAGCCTTTCCTGCTCCGTGTGTGCGGCTCGGGGGCCATAGCTGCGCGCCCCAGGGCTGCCGCCGCCGCGCCTCGGCGGCCTCTCCCGCGCCAGCCCCGCGCGACGGAGCGGCGCCTTCGGCAGCCTGCTGTGACGCCTTCTCTCGACCTCGGAAGCGCTTTCATTCACGTCTGTTCGTTTGAACCACCTGGAATACATTTGGTTTCCTGCAGGAGTCTGAGTGACATGCTCACTAAATATTAAAGTCATATTCTGCCTTTAAGTGATTTCTCAAATCCCTACTGAAAGGCTTGACGTGGCAACCTGGATCCCTGCCCTTTCCTGAGCCTCAAAACCTCAGTAATACCACTCTCAACATCTGTTTGCTTGGAAGGGAAAGGAGGAGTATGTGGAATAATTCTACTCTGAATAAACAAAAGAGTAGTTCTGGGATAGCAGTGTTCAAGAATTGTAAGTCTTTTAATGACACATTTATATTTAAGAAGTTCTGCTCTTATCCCTGATATATAAAAAACAACTATGAATCAACAAGAAAAAGTCTGATTTCAAAATGGACATTTCCTAGAAGAAGAAAAATACATGACCAACAAACACTAGAAAAAATACTTAATTTCATTTGTCCTCGGGGAACTCATATGCTGCTCATAATTGTGTAAATTGGTAGAAAATTTTGGCCATACTTAGTAGTACTGAATATCCTATACTCTTAACCCAGAAATTTCATACCCTAGAGATACCCTTGCATAGATCTCCTGGGAGATAGGTACACGAATGTTCTTAGTAGCATTGTCAGTAATAGTAAAACAACCCAACGTCGTCAGCAGAGAATGACTAAGTAATTCTGGTGTATTCACTTGTGGAATACTACAGAGCAATGAAAAGTGAATACATGGTAGCTATACACATCGATATGAATGAGTGTAGACTATGTTGAGGGAAAAAAGCAAGTAGCAAAGTAGTATATGCAGTATGATTCCATTTATATAAAGTTCCAATGCAAGCCAAACTTAATAATATAACATTTGGGGGTAAAAACGTTTTGAACACAGAAATCATTAACATAGCATTCAAATAAGTGATTGCCTCTTCTGAGGAGGAAGGGAATGTGCTTGAGCAGGTCATCTAGGAGTGTCACAGGTATTGGTGAGTTTGGGAAGTTGGTACTTGAGTGTTTGTTAATTTTTTCTATTATTTCTTCCTTAAAAATATTTTTATGGCAGGAGGAGGGGGTGGGGGTTGCTCACGCCTGTAATACCAGCACTTTGAGAGCCCAAGGTAGAAGGATTGCTTGAGGCCAGGTGTTTAAGACCAGTCTGGGCAACATAGCAAGACCCAGTCTCTACAAAAAACAAAAACAAAACCCAAACATAAATAGGTTTACTGGTGAGTATGCTAAAAAAAAAAAAAATTCTTATGTATTTTATATATTCTTTTATGTGTATAATTAATTTTAAAAGTCATAAGAGTTCAAGTTCTACAGTAAAATTACTTGGACTTGAATCCCAGCTCTGTACTCACTAGCTCTGCAGCCTTATGTAAATTAACTAACCTCTCTGTGTGTGAGCTTCCTCATCGGCAAAGTGGGGAAAATATCATAGCATCATAGCACAGTGAGCATGGAAGCAGCGAATACAGGTAAAGTCTATACTATGTCTGGCTCGGTGGAGGACAGCTGTCACATTCATTTGTTATATCACACACTTCAGAGCTGGGAAGACCCTGCTGTTTCATGGATAAAGACATTAAGGCCTCGAGACCATTAACTGGCTTGCCCAAAGCCCTACAGGTTGGTGGCAGACCCAGACCACCTTACTCTTTCTTCTTTTCCTTGCTCATTTTTCTATACTTCATAAATAGAGAGGAACTTTTACTTGTTCACCTTTCATAAGTTTGCTTTTCAATCCACATTTCCTGTACTTCATAATTTCTAGTATTGTTTCTTAGCACCTTTTAGTATCTTTCCAAAGGGATCAACAGAGCTTCAGTTCCTTATTGCATGTGGAAATAGACCTCCGTTCACCTATTTACCCATTCAGCGGTGTGCTGAGCACTCGAGGTTCTCTGGGGCTGATTCACAGAAGCGGAGGGCTCAGTGACTGCCGCAGGTGACCACAGAGTGACATCGCTGCACTCGCCACATTGTCTTGCAAGAATTCATGTTTCCAGCCGTCCCGTGGCTTCTTTTTTTTAATTTTATTTCGGCATATTATGGGGGTACAGATTTCAAGGTTTCAATAAATGCCCTTTCCCCCTCCCCCCACAAGTCCGAGTCTCCAGCATGACCATCCCCCAGATGGTGCACATCTTACTCATTCGTCCCGTGGCTTCTTAACACCTAGCTGGAGAAACAGGCAAAGTTCTTGTTTTCATGGAGTTTAGGACCTAGTTAGGGGTAGGTGTGTGGATAGTAATTATGTAAAGAAATAAATAAGGTCAGTGTGGATGGATGATCACTGCTATGAAGATAATAAATCAGGAAAAAGGAGAGAGAACACTCAGCAGTTTGGCAGGAGAGGAGGGCCTAACTGAGGAGAGGCCTGGACAATGCTGACCGACTGCGTCCGTGACCTAGTTTTAACACAGACGGCCGCTCTGGAAACGAGAGCAGGCACAGCCTTCCCTGCCGCCGGGAGGGACACCCAAGCTGGGGACTGCGCAGACCATGGAGGCGACAGCTTCGCCGGGCTCCACGGCCGCCCGCCTGCTGGGAGACGGGCCGGCTCTCGGACGGACTGGCAAGCGGACGGGGACAGAGGCCGACGTGACTCGTGCAGGCAGGGCGGTGCAGGGCTTGCACAGGCAGGTGGCTTCTAACGGACTCTGGGCCCGGGGAAGGAAATGGCGAGAACTCAGGGCCTGGATAGGACTCGAGGTGCAGTCAAGAGCTCGCCCCCTGCGCCGAGCCCTGCGGGCGTGCACGCTCGCGGCTTGCCGGAGCCGCAGTGGGCGCCGTGGACGTCCTCCGCGGCGGCAGCGCCCAGGCCCAGCCGCGCCTGCGGGAGCCGCGCGGTGCTCACGCCGCGCTCCTCCCGCCCCCAGGGCCGCAGCGCGGCTTCTCCGGGAGCGGAGCCCTGCTGTGCGCCCAGCCGAGGCTCGGGCGCGCTCCTGGGAGAGCCTGAGCCCGAGAGGCGGGCTGAGGGGCGCCGCGGGCGCGGCCGCCAGTGCAGATTGCCTCCGGCGCCCAGGCCTGGGCGCGCAGAACGGGCTGCGCCCGCAGCGTCCCGAACCTTCCCTCCCCTGCTCGCCTCCCCGCTCTGTCTGTGGGAAAATTGTCTTCCATGAAACCGGTCCCTGGCGGCAAAAGGCTGGGCACCGCGGCTCTACAGCCGTGTCCAAATAGAACACAGCAAGGGGCCACAGCCTGAGTCTGGAACTTTCGCACGATGGAAACAGACTGGCGCACCTCGCGGCCAACCCACGCGCAGGTTGTTGCATGGTACCCCTGTCCTCTCAGGCAGTGCATTCACTGAGCATGTGGAGTGAAAATATTGTTTAAAGTCCACACTGGTGCTGGGCGTCCAGCAGCCCCCTCCATGTCACCATTGCGCACAGACACCGAGGCGGGCGGTCACAGTGGGAGCTCTCGGAGCTGGAGCCGCATCCACACTGGTGCTGGGCGTCCAGCAGCCCCCTCCATGTCACCATTGCGCACAGACGCTGAAGTGCAGCCCTCTCTACCCAGGAGCCTGCAAGCCCTCCTCCTGCAGCCCCGCTGCTCTGCCACATGGCGAGGCCGGCGTCGGAGCCCGACGGAGGCCAAACGGGGACGGGGACAGGGCCGAGCGGGGACAGGGACGGAGCGGAGCCGGGATGGGGACAGGGACGGGGCCGAGCCAGGACGGAGCGGGGACGGGCAGGGCCAGGACGGGGGCGGAGCGGAGCCGGGATGGGGACAAGGATGGGGACGGACCGGAGCCGGGATGGGGACGGGGACTGAGCGTAGCCGGGATGGGGACTAGGACGGGGACGGGGACAGGCCTGGCCGGGCGGGCACCGGGACGGAGCGGAGCCGGGATGGGGACGGGGACGGGGCCGGGCGGGGGATGAGGACAGGGACAGGGACGGAGACGGGGACGGGTGGGGAAGGGGAAGGAGCGGAGCCGGGATGGGGACAAGGACGAGGATGGGGCCGGGGCGGGGCCGGGCGGGCACCGGGACAGAGCGGAGCCGGGATGGGGACGGGGACGGAGCGGAGCCGGGATGGGGACAGGACAGGCGGGGAAGGGGACGGAGTGGAGCCGGGATGGGGACAAGGACGGGGACAGGGACAGGGACGGGCAGGGAGGGGACGGGGCCAGGGACAGGGACGGGCCGGGAGGGGACGGGGCCAGGGACAGGGACAGGCCGGGAGAGGATGGGGCCAGGGCCAGGGACGGGCAGGGAGGGGACGGGGCCAGGGACAGGGACGGGCCGGGAGGGGACGGGGCGGAGCCGGGATGGGGACGGGGACGGAGCGGAGCCGGGATGGGGACA